CAGAGCATAGAAGGTATGTACTTTACAAAAGCATATTTTATGTAACACCTAACTGGATTTTGATTGCGCAGGAGTTGCTGTATTAAATTGAGCGCTTAGCCTGATTGCCGTTGTTGGTCTACGGTGAGCTGTGGTTGCGTCATCTGTGCCTGTAATCTTCAATGACGTGTGGGCGTTGCTGTCAGTTTTAAAAATGTGTGGGGTATATATTAACTCTGAAATCAGAGTGGCCAACTATTGCATGTGAAATTTACTTTATTCTGTTTAACGCACAGGTCAAATAATACGTTAAAATCTTGTGTGTTTTGTTCGTTAATGGTGGCTTTGTGTTTACTAATTTTGAATATCTGTAATTTTTATAGAATATCTAACATTTTACCGTTTGGAGCTATTCTTAACACGTCCATGATATCTTCCATTGGGCCTTATTCGTCTCCGTGGTCGAGGTTGTGCTGGACGTACTTTGATTTTGTTACGTTAAATCTAAATCGTGGACATGCTCCTTAAATCTGGTTTTAAATTCCCAACCGGTTTGACCAATATAAACCTGCTCGCAGCTACCGAATTTTAACTGGTATAAACCACTTTTATGTATTTATTATTCTATTTCTTTGAATTTTATCGGAATTTTATGGTGTTATTGACTTTGTAGGTTATGTTGACATTTGTGTTTTCGAATATTTTGGCGAGTTTTCTAATACTATTACCAAAGAATGTGAAACTGGACCATATTTTACTATTTGTGGTGGGTTTGGGGTACATTAAGGCTTTGACCGGGATGTTAAATCTTATGTGGTACCGCCTGATTCGACTTCTAATGGTTAAGTGAAGTGTTTTCTTCGCGGTACGGTCTGGATTCGTAAATATTATGAAGACGAGCTTCGGCTTCAAAGGGTTAACCAGCTGATTTTCGTAATGGTGAGGTGTAGTGTTTTCTTCGCGGTACGGACTGAATTCATAAATAATATTCAGACGATCTTCGGCTTAGAAGGGTTAATAGGGGGTTTACGTGTTTTAATTAGGTTCTTACGTTCTTTTGATGTCTCTGGAGTTATAATCGCTATTTTAACCTATTTCATGGATAAGCTTAGTCTCTATATCAAACTCCTCTTATGATTATGAGAAGTGGATGGTTAGATATTTTATGTATTATTATATCTGAGAATGTGGGTTTCCTGTAGATGCCCAACTGGAATTATTTTGTATGTCTATGGATGGTGACGTCTTAATAGTTAATTTTATTATATTTTATTCTATTGCTATATTATATTTTAACTTTTATACATATTGTTACGTTTTGTTTGTATGCATGATTTATATTCCGATACAATATTACGGTATGCAAGGTTTTAAGGTTATAAATCGACCAATTTTCAATATGATAACAAAATTTCGGAAGCAAAGTGAAACAGAGCCAAACTTTCGAAGCGTTGTGTTTTAACAATTTAAATAAATACGATGCAAAGTGCCCAAATAATACAGCCAGTTCTACAGCGCAATCTCGTCCACAAAAATTTTGACTAATTCCTAATATTTATACACAATAACTGTAAAATTATATTAACAGGCGAATTAAACTAAACTTCTTCGTTAATTAAGAAAAATTTAACGTAGACAGAACTTGTACAGTATACATGTATAAAGTTACCAAAAAAAACAACTAAAAATAATTTATATATATTGTTTAAATCTTGTCCGTCTAATCACAATAAATTCTTATTAAATATTAAAATATTACAATAATTAACATTTAAAATATTTAAAATATTAAATGATGTTCTTTATCGAAATATTCGATTTACATTAGACCATCATTTTTCACGACATTGTATTTAAGTTATTATTGATTTGAATCTTTATATAATTATATACACCTGAAGATAGTTCTTTTAGGAACTGAAACATGTCGTGAAAAATGATGGTCTAATGTAAATCGAATATTTCGATAAAGAACATCATTTAATATTTTAAATATTTTAAATGTTAATTATTGTAATATTTTAATATTTAATAAGAATTTATTTTGATTAGACGGACAAGATTTAAACAATATATATTTATTATATCACAATATGACGCAACTTTACTATCTCATAAAAATAATTCATTACAAAGTCTTCGACGGAACAGGACATATCAACATGGGTTAGAATAGAGGTTTGTGTTTTAAGTAATTAATTTGATGGAGAAAAGTCCTTCTTAAGATGTTAACAGTCTCTCAAAAAGTTGGGCTCCACCGGCGACCGTGACAATAGATTTAAATAACTCTCAGAGACCGGGAGGTGGTATGGCCGTCGGATTACAGAGGTTAAAACCAAAACAATATAAAGTCAGTTAAAAATAATCAAAATATATTAAAAGTATAAATAATAAAGACGATACAGGATTAAGTCATACAAAACTCACTCTACTCAGACTCCAGCTGGGATTCGGACCATCAACTTTCGACAAACACAGAACCAAACGCGAGATTAGACCTAGCTCAGAACAGGAAGGAACATTTCTCTCCGGCGAACTACCCTTCGCGGATGACACACACAGACTGCCCGTCGTACTGCCTCATAAGGGCATCGAAGCCTGTGACTCCAAAGATCGCGGAGATGGGTGAGATAGGCCAAGTATATGTCACTCCGAGCCACGAGGCATGACTCAAATTCGACAAAGTTTCTGACATTTAGGAAACCAAAAGGTTCAGATTGACAACAGACCCTATCATGAGTCAGATAAACCCTTTCGAGATCTTCCCGGGCCCTTTAATTAATATCAAGGTCGTAAGGCAGAAAAATTCTATAAGCAAGTTTGTTGTCTGCTCCCTCCAACACGAAACCCAAAGTAATAAGAGCCAGTTTCCGAAACGTCGCGGTTTCTTTCTTTTAGACAAGAACGATGGAAAAAGTCCAGATAATGAACAATTTGAAGTGTAATCCACCACCGTCAAAACCCTTCAGAATTGAACCAAAGCAACGTCTTCGATTTTACTGACCTAACAGCACTTTGATATTGAGAAGATTTTCTATACAAACTGGAAGTTTTGTTTGTTCTGTCTGACGACAGGTCCATATGAACAGGGTCCTTCCATCCTTTTCTCGGACTGGGATCTGTTCATATACGTTCTTGGCAGATGATCCAGAAGTGGTTTGCCATTGCCTTCTTCTGTGTGTGAATGGAGTAATTGTTGGGATGCCACGGAGGAAAACTCCGTGTTGCCTAGACCACGGCCTTGCCCAACACAAGTTAAAAATTCGGGCACCGCCGGGAATCGAACCCGAGACCCCCAGGATTACAAGGCCAGCGCTCTAACTGCTAGACCACCGTGGCCATCAAGGTTCTTTTACGTGCCTTAAATCTCCGAAGGAAATCATGACCTCGGCCGGGTTTAAACCCGCGAACGTCGGGTCCACTAGTTCACCGAGGAAAACACACGGGAATTTATCTTAAAGAAATGTTATGTGAGAATTTGTACAGGATTTATCTGACTCAGAACTGGGGCCAGTTACCAGGATCTTCTGACTTCAACGCATTCCATAAAAGTAACGGGATTTATCAACTGGAATAGAGCGGTCGATTCTTAGAGTCAAATTGGGTTCTAAGACGTGAAGCCACGGCAATGTGACGTCACTCCTTTACAGCGTCTGGAGTCTAAAAGCTTGTAAGATCTTAAAATGTAACGCTTCAGTGATACTAGACGCAAATTTGTTTAATTACCGGTCTGAATAACTCTCATAGTTTACGTTTGTAAGCATTCGTACGACCAGGGCGTCCACATTGAACACGACTGCGTTCAATTGGTTTCAGGCGAACATTGGACTGTATGAACGTCATGGAAAACTTTGCTTTTAAATTACTGCTTCTCCAAAATGGTAAAGAATTCTGCGTTCATGAATCGATCTTCGAGAGGGAAACAGAGAAATCACACGCAATTTTCTCCGAATCTCCCGAAAAAAAAAAATATTTTTTCTAATTTTTTTCGAATGGACTATAGGACTTTTATATTATAGTTTGAAAAAAAAAATACTCTAAGTTTCCAAACTCGAATAAATATCGTCTTTTTCAAACGACAACATTTTAAATTAGATTCTCGTTGACAACGTGATTATGATAGTGTTTGTCTCTTGTTTCTAGAGACTCTCTCTTTGTAACACATTGAATTAAGAGATCTTTTGAAAGACGTGAACTGGTCGTATAAATTCGTGCGAGATCGTGAAAACTCGTCCCCAGAAAGCCCTGATCACTGGCACGAAGCCGTAAGAATCCGTGTGCCCACCGCCGGTCAAAAGTCAGTAGCCTCTGGTCGGGGTACAAGGCCCCATCGGACACTAAACCATGGAACAGGCCCCACTCGAAGGGTGTGCTGAAGATCTGGGCAGTCTATGAGCGAAGGTGTGCTCTAAATTGAAGTTTCGTATTCAAAAAAACTGTCTCTGCTATCACGCATGACTCATTCCGCGTGATATTCATTTGTTTAATCTCTAATCTCAACGCAAAAACTGTTCACACACTACGTTTATCTTAATAAAGATGGCTGCCGTCTAGGTTGTAACGTCGTGTTGTCTGGTACACGTTTACAAACATTCCAGAGGTCCTTGCGACCTTCAATAGGGCGACATATATTTTGGCGTATTATTTTTTCCAATATCAATAATGTTTATTCTAAATAAATGTTGCATATTTTCGTAATATTTTCATTTCATGCGAAATATTAGTTTCTACTTTCCAGGTAAATAAAAGATCTTTGATTAGGTTTTCACGTAAAGTAGAGGTTATATTTTACTGATACATACAAAAGTTAAATTCGCTATACAAAGATTAGCGTGTTATCATATTCATAATCCATGAAACCTCAATCAACAAGGTTAATGTTTCGTTACAATTTATTTAATCCAATGTTAAACAATGGTAAAATAATTTTAAAAAATTTACAAAGAAACAAAATAAACCAACGTATAAATGCACCCAACTGTTAGTATAACTGATCCCTGTTCAGACCACATTAATAAACGTTTCACGATATCGCTAGATCCATTTTTTGTTACGTGAAATGTAGACGCGTTCTCCATGGTAACTTGAACGCAAACTCATGTCAATTTCCCTCCCTCTCGGCTAGTGCTGACAGCACCATCTGTAGTCCGTCTTGAGCGACACGCACTGCCTCGTCTATCTCAGCCTGCAGTTCGCTTTTCGTCTCGTCTTCCCTCAGCTCCTTGAGATTGGTGGCAACGTTGTGATACGCGCCCCAAACACTGGTCTCCAAGCAACGCGCTCCAACCTGACAACAACGCCACGTCACTGCACCAAAACTCCACAACACAAAATTACCAACGACAACGTTACTTTTTAAGAAAGGCGTATACGATAAACGGAATCAAATCTCACTTACCTTCAAGTCTGAAATAGTCGCCTGGTTCCCTAGAGCTGCTAAACGGACAAGCGTGGGCCACAAACGGTTCACTTCTTTCGCAAGATTATAAGGAACTTCCACAGCCTTCTTGAGACCTTCCTGCATAGCTTTGTCTCTAACAGCCGCTTCTTCAGGTGTTTTCTTTGGCAACTTCAGAGCCACCTGGAAACAATTTATGACACTACGTAATATACTGATGGTGTGGAATGAAAGGACTGTACTCGCAGCTGGACTGGAATATCTTTTGGTCCCGAGGGATTTAGAAAGTCTCGTGGCAGGCTGTTATGAACACATTAATGAATCTTCAAATAAAAATAAACTTACGAGCGTTTTTAACTAGATTCTGCACTGGTAACTTCTACGAAGTATATTCCACAGAGTTGGTTCATGAATAAATTTATTATCCATTATCTATTTCTTAAAATTTAGAAAAAAATTTGAAGTCCAAACAAGTATTTTAACAATTATTAATGGTTGAATAACTCCATGGAACAGAAAACTGATAGTCGCTAAGTTTGTCAACAAATTCATCGTCGTCTATTTAACCCGATGGTTTATCACGATGCTCGCTTAAACTCATAATTGGACCTTATCCTGAGCCACTTCAATCCATCCGCCTCCATTACACCCTACATCACAGATTAAGATGCACATTCATATAATCCTGTCGCATAAGTTTAGATTTATATTCATCTTTAATGACCAAACAGTTCAACTCGTTTCTCACCTTCTAGATTGCTCATTGTCCATTCTGTTAAAAAAAACACAAATTAAACTTCGAAGAAATCACCGTTCAAACACCGACACCTGTTAACTTTTCTTTGGACGGTACTGTACTGCGCTCCAAATCAAGACGTGAACTGGCAACGTAACTGCTGTAGTGGCTGTTCCTTCTACCGTACACAAACCCCGCTAATTATAAAATAAAAAATACACTATAATAGATGAAATTTAAACATTTAAATAAACTCTCCGCACTAGTAATGTACAACAAATTGCTTACATTACATTCTTAAGAAACAAAGTCGTACTGCAACTCTCGGTTTTTGTAAATGAAAACATATCGATAGGGGGTGAGAGAAATGGAAGTAAAAGCTCGTAAGGACCCATGCTTCACTCTTGTAACTGGATTGTTTACAGTGCGCAGGTTCGTGACGTAGGGGAGAAGGGGGCTTGTTGTTACAAGGGACAAGATGTTATATTTTAGTTTAAAAATCACTCATTTGCAGCAGTATCTCACGAGTCTCTTATCTATTGCGTCTCCCCTGTGCTCAGTTCTTCCCAAGGCATGGTACTTGTAGCTTGTGTATTACGTGAGCTGGGTTGATTTAAGTGTTTTTACCAGTAAATAGTAAAATTTCTTTTCTGACTTTGAACTCACTTCCACGACCGTGTGAAAAAGGCAAGTTCTTTAAAATTTCCTTACGTAAAACCCTTTATATTATGAGCAATGCGTGTACTTCGTTCTTCACTTCAGTCGAATATTGACACTGCTTTGACCGTGAAATCAAAATGGCGTACTGTGGGGTCAGTTGTCACACTGGACAAGGGGAACCTTGTTACATTGTATCAGCGTGGCCCGTATCTTTTGAAATAACTTGCGTTGACAAATGACTACATTTTACTTTTTTATCATGAAAGATGGTACAGACGTACAAAAGGAAGACTCATAGAGGTAATACAAGTTTGGAAACGTTTATGTTAGCAGCTGATGAAGTCTCTTCTGGAAGAATCTCGTTAAGACAAACTGTTAATACATGGTGAAAACGTTTGAAGTTAATTTCTGTAATTAATTGCTTAATAAATGTCTCAATTATTCCTTCTGTTTACTAATACAGTGTGTTGTAACAATTAGTACCATAACAGGGCACGTTGTTACAATCCGCCTTGTCTTAAATAAAAAAGTTTTGTGATAAAACAAAAATGAATAGGCCTTTGAAAAAATGTTATTAATATAGCCGAATAGTAATAGTACCTAAAGCCATAGTTTCTAACTTTATAAATTTTAATAATAAATGCACAAAAAGAAATCGTAATTGAAAATTGTAACAACTAGCCCCAGTCTCCCCTACCATATATTGATTGAAGGCTTCTGCGTCTGCGTCCACGAAAGGTAGGAAGTTGTTCATAGCGCGGTGCACGATGGGTATCAGTTCTCGCATCGCACCGTCGACAGACTCGAACTGACGCTTACCGTACGTCATTTGTCCGACCATCGTACTAAGCGCTGCGCCCTGCAACAGACACCACAACGCAGACGAGCTCAGAAACTTCAAACAGGCAAAAAAATTCCGAATCGCGTTAGTTTCATATCAAAACCAATTAATACAATTAAAACCGAATATAGGTAGGACTCGGTTTACGCCGGGGTTAGGTTTCTGATATTTCCAGCGTAAATTGAAACGGCGTAAATTGAAGCGGCGTAAAATGAAGCGGCGTAAACCGAGTCCTACCTATATCACATCCGCGAAACAGAATATGCCGAGTTCAAAGCTGTTTGTAAGAATAACTCACAAGGGCCGCTAGAAGTGCGGAAACTGATCCGCCCCCAGGTTCAGAAGAGCGACTGCCAACAGCGCGGACAAAGCTCTCAGTGGAGAGACGAACCAACGACCCTGAGGTCGCGTCGCCCAGTCGGTACTCGATCACGCGTTCCCTGAGACAAACAAGTGCTAACGTCTATATCTGATAAACTGGTGATGACAGTTCCGATAACATTGGTAATGAGAGTGATTAGATTCGATTTATTTATTAATATGCTCCAGTAATAATAAATATAAAACCAAAATTTATGATTCAAAAATACAACAACAAAAAACGCAGAGAGAAACGCACAGGATATGAATAAACAAAAGCAGATAAATTCTCAATCGAGCACTGTTATAAAAAGTCCATCAGCGAATTATAAACCCTGTTAAAACGTAACTGTAAACAAGATAACACCAAAAATATAGCGTTCAGAGACTCAGTCTAGATCAGTGTTATTCAACCTAGGGTACGGGTACCCCCGGGGGTACGCGAAATTTTAAAAAAAAAATATTATTTTATGATAAACACTGAATAATCAGTAATATAATTTATTTAATTTATTTTAGATGTAGATTATATACTATGTATAACTTGAATTAGGGGTACAAACTTGAAGAGAAATTATATCTGGGGGTACGCGAAAAAAAATTTTGAATACCACTGGTCTAGATAACATACCTGGATAATTATTGGAAAACACTCTCAAAAAAAATTACTGAAACCGAAGGCAGCAGATTCTTTTTTAGACTCTTTGGTGCGTGGAGGAATCCGTCGATGTAATGGAGACCACGTGACATGCATATTTCAACTTGGGTCGTGCAAGAGTTGAAACAGAGCCTACGATCAATGGATAAATACGAAAATAAAAGATATAATACGAAAGAAACCTAACATTTATGAGTGTAGCCAACGAGAATTTGAATCTATGGCTTGAAACGCATTTACCAGCACCAAAATGGACATTGAGGAGACAGAAATTTGACACCAGACCTGCAGACCGTCCCAAAGCCTGCACAATAAACTTTCAGTCCACTGAGGGGGCTGTCAGGCACGTACTCCCCGTGCTGAAAACATCACGCACGTTCCCAGACACTAACATCCAGCTACTACTTTCGGTAAGGGAATCAGCGGTAACTTTTGATTGTCAATTCGAAACTTCCATTATTGAAACAATGTGGCTTTGAGAGTTCTCGAGTTGTTTCATTGCTTTATCAAGTTTGTTGATGTAACATAATTCAGTCTTGTTTTCATTCAGGCTTGGCCAACAAAACAATTTTCCTGTGTTAAGGCAACAGGACAGCGGTTCTGTTTTCGAAAACTGTTCCAAATCAAATTTCCTCACGCGTGATTTGGTTCGTGCCTTAAATTCTAACAACTCGCATTTCGGTCGTCCACTTTATATAATTATTATCTTTTCAGAAAAGTCCCTACTTTAATAGTAAAACCTCGATTCAAAAGGCGTTCGATTGCACTCACATGAACGTTCACTCTCAACGTTCTTTTTTTTAGCTGTGCGTGTAGTCTAATCCCTCCCCTGCCACTTGTACCACGAGATTGGAATTTCCTCTCTTGTACGTGGATTGTTTACTTTCTGAAGTTTAATATGCTTCAAAATACGATCACAAATACAGTCCTGCGCCATCTAAATACGCACGTACAATGTTTTAATAAAACTTAATATTGCTTACGACACCAAACAAGAACTGAAATCACACATAAACAGTTAATTTTCACATCGTCATTGAAAGAACACGTTATTTCGGTTCTGCAATGCAGCTCAAGGAGCGCGGACAACACAGTGAGAATTGCTTCCTATAGATACTTCGGGTGGTAAGCCGAACTCCCACGAAGATTAACGAAATTACGGAAGCAATGATTCACTTGTTTCCCTGCACGGCACGCCACTGCCTTCTGTATTTACTCACATCCCTTAACGAAAACTGTATAAGATCGGTACCTAAATTGTCTGGTTTGTTTACATATCAGGGCTAATAGTTTTGGAAAGAGTAGTATAATCCCTCCTTTTCACGTTCCGACCCACGGCTGACATTTCAAGGACACGCTGCACATCTGTTGACAACTCTCACAGGAAATGCTCTGAGTTTATTTACAACACATCGACAAAATCAGTTTAAATATGGTTCCTTTATAAATGGATCTGCTGCCAGTGTCTTTATTATGAATTTAACAATTCCCACGTAACGCCTTTTTGCATCAAATAATTAAGATATCTAAATATATTTACGAGAGCTGGGCAGGTGCGGCGAGTGGCCATATTGTTGAATCACTCCTAACCCCTCCGCTAACTTCAAATGTCGTATTCATAACAAATGACGTTCTGCCCCCGTCCAAACGTCTTTTTAATATTAAACTTCTGGTAACAGGGGCTTCGTTCGGGGGAGAATTTATGGGTTTAGAACACGGTCTCTTTCTGAAATAAATTGTTGCCTTTGTGACGAAAACACCAAAATGCAATAATAGCAGAGTCAACGTTTAATTGTGTCATACAATTTAACCTAGAGCTCAAAGGTCCGTGGATCGAAACCAATTATGGCCAATGGCCAACCTCCCACTCTTTCGAGTATAATCGCAGTTATTTTAATACTGCAACAATATTTCAGCAGTCAGAGATGTAAATATACATTTACAGTGTCACAGAAAAGGTATTAAACTGCTGGAAGCCAATAGCTATCCCCAAATTTGGAATGACTCGTGGCCCCAAGCGATAGGAGACAATTTAATGAGTGTACGAAAGTAACAATTACTATTTACGCGTTCGATTATCCTTAACAAACTCATTACAAGTTCCGTCACTGAGGACGGTACGTACTGCTACATACAGTGAGAAACTTTGAATATCGAGTGATGAAATGAAGTTAACAAAGTTCATATCTCAAATAATACAGCATTTAAAGCCTCATTATGTCATCGGCCTCCGTGGCGCAATCGGCTAGCGCGTTCGGCTGTTAACCGAAAGGTTGGTGGTTCGAGCCCACCCGGGGGCGATAAATTTTATTTTAAATATAGCTCAAAATACAGGTAACTCTCGGTTTACGAACGTCAGATTTAAGAACATTCGCTATAATGAACGTCACAATTCATTCTAAAAAAATTTTAAAGTCGCCAATACATAGAGTTTCGTATATAACGAAATTCCAAACGTATAGTGAACATAATTGTAAGATTTAAATAAATAAACTTTTATAAAATGTATTTATTGCAATAATTATTAGATGATAATTATACTGAACTGTTCTTGGATATTAAAACTAATCTAGACATTAAAAAAACCTGAATTTACATGCCACGCCGCGTAGAATGTTCTCTCGTGGGAAATAAATATAATATAATATAATACGATCATCATAAGTACATATATTATTTAGTACTCATTTTATTTATTTATATTTTGTAACTCTTTATATTTATTATAATTAAAATTAACAAGTACGATATCTTGTTTTATTATTATTTTCTTATTTTACGTTACGTATTGTATACGATAAACCATAACGCATACATACATTATAATAAAATGTATTGTATAGACCATTCGACGTTTAGTACGTGGTTTTAATGCTTTAAAATGGCTTCTAACAACTTAGAACGGACATATCACTGTTATCAACAACATACATCTTATTCAAAATTCTTTTATCTATCTTAACTCTATCAGGATGGATTTAAAAGTAATCGATACTGACAATATATTTTCAAAGCGCCCTGATGATGGAGGCAGCATGGACCTCTGAAACGTCGGTGTAAATCCACCAGACTACACGGCACAACAACCCAGAAGACAGCAATCTTCAAACTCACCGCCATGAAAACCTCAAATTCCTACAATGATATTTTCATTATCAAAATTCTTTTATCTATCTTAACTCTATCAGGATGGATTTAAAAGTAATCGATACTGACAATATATTTTCAAAGCGCCCTGATGATGGAGGCAGCATGGACCTCTGAAACGTCGGTGTAAATCCACCAGACTACACGGCACAACAACCCAGAAGACAGCAATCTTCAAACTCACCGCCGTGAAAACCACAATTTCCTACAATGATATTTTCATTACCTCCAAACCGGAAGTGATGTAAGCGTACAGATGACGTCATAATTCCATCCGTTTCATTTTCCCCTACGCCGTTAAGTAACCAAACATTTGCTAACGATCAAAACGTAATCAGTCGCTTTATAATTGTATTGTTTGCGCTGCATTGGCGAGGCACATATTTTATTCAAAACGTTTACAAACTAATGCTTTGGGGTGAAAGATAATGCTAACTAATCAGGACACCAACCAGCAGAGTGGCGCAGTGGAAGCGTGCTGGGCCCATAACCCAGAGGTCCGTGGATCGAAACCACGCTCTGCTAAAGTAATATTTTTTTTTTTAATATTTAAGCCCAATATTTATCTCCTACTTTTAATACAGAATACAATATTTATGGTTTATGGTATTGATTGGACGGGACTTCTTACAAATCGACCCCAACCGAAAATATGTTTGTTCTATTTGATGTTGTAACCGTCCCACTCCTCTGTCTGCTGTTGGAGTCGCCCGGCTCGGTTCCAGTCTCGTCGATCTCTGTCGTATGTGATGTAATTCGGGATTTATGCTCATGTAGGCATTGAACTTTTTCTCAGGGAATATTACATGGAGGGGTATAAGCTGAATGCCAGCGAGGAAGGTTTCGGTAATGGTTTCGAGATTGAAGTTCGTAGTTTTTGCAAACACAATTTATTTATTTTGAAATTAGCTACAAAACAATTTAGGATGTTGCTTCGTCTGAATTCCAGAAAAGAGTCTCCTCGAAGAAAACTTTCCCGTCCTTTAGTCACAGGACTTCCCCCCCTAATTTTCACAAAAAAAATGATCTATTTGGGCAGTAATGATGCGATGCTCTCATTGGTCAGATCAGTCCCAGTTCATGTGGACCATTCAGAGTGAAACGCGTAAATCTTTATTACTTGTTTCCAAATTATATTTTCATTTGCGCCTCACCGGGACTCGAACCCAGAACGCGCGGTCACAATGTTCAAAATTATCCATCTTTATTATCGCAATTTACTTTAAATATATTCGTTATTTGAAATAAATTAAAATATATTTATACATATCGTTT